TTTCTAGTTTTACATGTTTGTTATTAAAATGATTTTCTTTTAGGAACGAATTCTTAGTAACATTTTTTTTTCTAATTTTATAAATTTGTAATTTATTTATAATAAATTACTTTATTAAAAATTGTACTTGAACCGTAAAAGATTTTAGTTTGGAAAAAAAATTCCCTAATAGTCTACATATGTCAATAAAGTTCGAAAGTGATTTATAAGAGAGAAAAAAAGTCACAAAAGTTCTTCTTTTCTAGAATTCAATAACAAGTTTTTTGAATAATTTATTTCAACAAATGTTTATATTTTTTTATTATGTTGAACGTCATTTTACAACTGCCTTCACTTTTGAACTTCTTTTAATACGTTATAGAGTGGACATGAAAGGTAAGGCTAATATGGTTACTTATAACATGAACACTACCCAACTAAAGATGACGAATGGTTTGACCTGAACTAAAATCTTTTTGTAATCTTCAATGTAACCAACTAATAACTTTCTATAGACTATTTTTTTCATATTAAAATTTTCATAAGAAGGTGCACATTTGAGTTACTTTTATTATCATATTGATAGCTTTTCATGTCAAATTGACACCTTACCAAGCAAGACAAGCCATATGGTGAGATTTGTCTACTTTGTTGGTTTATTACCATTTGTAAATAATTAATTTTGGTTAATGAAAAATGCAATTATATCTTGTGAGCTATGTAATTCTTGGTATTCGTGTAATGTTACTAATGTCAAATACTGAAACTCATTTATCGGTCAAGGATGAACACAACTTTATTATGATAAAGGCTTTAAATGAAGAAGACCATCTTTTATTCCAAATGGAGAGCCAAAGAAGAGATTTCAACATTAAAGTTTTTTGTTTGTGAATAAACCTACTTTATTTTTTTAATGTTCTTCAAATTTGGAGTTTGCTTCTATTAAAGTGAAGAAGGAAGAATAAACACAAATAATCTAAACTTTATTTAATTCACAACTTCATCTAAAAGTTAATTCTGATGATCTATATTTGATGTGTTGTTTTCTTATTTAATTAATTCATGGTTAGGTTTATGAGGAAAATTATAAATTTGTGTAATAGATTTAATTTATTGTTCACTCAGTTTTTCAAGATTATTGTTCCAATATTTAATTTATAATTTAAGTCGTTATCAATTCATTATGAATATTATATTATCAACATCTGAAAATAAATATGAAATATATTAATATTAGTCATTATTTTAATTGATTTTATTACTATTTAATTTAAATATATTACCTAATATATTGAATTTATTTTTAATAATAGTTAAAACAATTTAAATTTAATTAAGAGTGTTTCTCTCTATACTTGTCAAAATTTAACAATTGGGTAGCTAGGTTAAGCAAATTTCATAATATATACTAACTTTTTCTTTCTGCATCCTTCTTTCTTTCATCTCGTTTACTTTTCTTCTCTTTTTTTTTTCTAGTGTTTATGCTGTGTTAGGTATAAATTGTAAGTTCAAAAAATTAGACATCAATGTTTTTTTTTAATTTTATATTATTTTGTCATGAAGAAAAATATCATGACAAAAATGTGTTACAAATAAGAAACAAAAAGATTTTTTAAGGTTTAGAAAAACGAAAGAAATCCAGTAAGAGGTAGGTTATTAAGTAGGAATGAATGTCTAATAATTTGCAAGTAGTAGACTTAAAAATACCTAATTTAAAACAAGTGAAAAGATAAGTTTGTTATTTAAAATATATCAGGTGTAAATGAAAACATAGGTTACATAAAATATTTTTAAGAACGAAGGCCCAAGCCCGATAGTTCCAAATTATTTCACGTTCATTTTCCTTTGTTTCTCTCTCACAAGGAAGAAGCCGCCTCAGCCACTGCTTCTTGGTTTCTCTCGCTCTTCCAAACCTCAAAAACCTTTTCTTTTCAAAACCTTCTAAAACCCTTTTTTATTTCTTTCTTATCTCTATGCAACTTCTTAACTAATTCGCACTTCACGTCTAATTGTTTCGGCTTACTGGTAATTAGTCTTCTCTCATGATATTTTTCTTCACTCCCCTGACAAAAAATAAAATAAAATTAGAAGAAACCTTGAACTTGGATTTTAGGTTTGATGATTTTTGTTGTGTGGGTTCTTTGGGAATAGAAGAGATAATGAAGGTTGTTGTGGTCTTTGTTATATTATTTTGAATTCATATTTCATGTTTTTTACGTGATTCTTATGGGAATCATCTACCAGAAATGGAACTCACCTGATATGAGGTTCTGTTTGTGTTTAAAAGTTGAGACCTTTCAATATTTTTATCTGATTATGGATTTTATGTTTTGTTGGGGCTTTAACTTTGCTTAGAAATTCTGTTTTTGAAAGTTTTGAGACATTGTGGCATTAGTTGTTTGTGTTAGCATGTTTTATTGTCTATGGCATTGTGGACCTTATATCAATGGTGGTTTGCATGCTTTTCAATTAGGTAAAGTGATTTTGTGGGATGATTGTTGTGGTTTGCCTGTTTTGACTTTTGTAGCAGACCCTTAATTTACTTACTGTTTTTCTTTTTTTGGGTGGTATGTTGACATGGATGTTTGGATTTCAGAAAGAGGAAATGGCTGGAAAATCAAGCAAAGGGAGGAACAAAAAAGGGTCCCAGCATGTTTCTAGTACTTCAGAACCAGCAGTCCATTCTGATCTTCCTGTGAAGAATAACTTGGAAGCCACTTTAGAATCTGCAAAAGCTGACGTAGCTGAAACTGCAGCAATTGGTGATTCTGTTGGTGCCAATCATGAGTCGAAAGAACATGAAACAACAACTGAAGGGAGCCAACAAAAGCAAGGTGAAATGAGTTAGGAATTAACTTTATTGCTTATTGATATAATGACATTACATGATAATTGGACGTAAAACTTCTTTGATATATAAAAGTATTAAGAGATAAAGAAGTTACACTCAAATTACATTAAACAAAAAGTAGTTAAGAACATAAATCATAATTGAATAGAATATCTTTAGTTAGTGTAAAAACAGTATGAAACCAAATAAATAATGAAACTCCAATCATTAAAACACATCTTTATGTGTAGAATACATCAAATTGCATATTGCTTTTTCTTGTTGGGTTGCTCTCCCAATTGCCTAACTACATTGTGACCTCAGCTATTTGTGTAATATTATGGTTATGTGCAATTTAAAATCCGTTATAAAACTGTTATGGCTGCTACAATGTGGCAATTTTGGACACCTGCCATCGGTTATTTGATGCTGTATGGTGCTATCCCTGAAGGCACCCATCATGCCACGTGCTGAGCCACCCATTATGTAACTCCCCTTCATTTTCCGCGCGTTACGTTGTATACTTTAAAATATATCTTTACCGTTATTTCCTTTTGTCTTTTCCCTTCCTTCCATTCTTTCTTTTTCTATGCTTATTCTTCATTTATTTATATCTTCCTAATATTCTTTTTCTTTTCTTGTTCATTCAATTCAATGTTTTTGATCTCTTGCTTCTTTAATTCAGAATTTATTTCTTTGTTTTTTAGTATTTCCGAATCATGTTGTTCCTATTCTTATCGTACTAAATCCAGCTTAATCTGACTGGATGTACACAACAGGGCCCTTTTGTTCTGTAGTGAGGTACTGCATTTGCAGGTCCTAGCAGGATGGAATCGCAGCCATAACAACTACTGTGCTCTAGGGAGGAAAATTTCCTATTTTTATCTTACTGAATCCAGCTTTATCTGACTGGATTTACACAATAGGTCCCCCTTTAGGTCTATTGGTGACCCCATTCTTGCTTAGTGATCTGAATTGCTCTGAAAAAGCATTGCTTACAGGGTTTGACTGTTCACTAGTCAATTTTTGTTTATGTTTCATCGTGTTGTCTGTGTTTCTAGTAACTAATTCTGAACGTTTTTTGTTTTTTTAATTGCTATACTCATAATTTAGTTAATGTTGAAATTATGTTTTCTTGTTTTTCTATCCTATCTCGTTCTTTTCCATCACTCTCACAATACTAAATTTTTTTTTCCTATTGTTTATAATTTAAAATAACTAAGATTATCTGTAAATAATGTGAATTTTGCCAACTTCATATGTTTTTACACAGAATATATGCCTTGCAACATATGTGAAACCCTTATTTTACTAGGGATTAGGTGATTGTGCAAGTTTTATCATGTTTCGTGCTATGCATTATGTTTGATAATTTTTGTTGTGCAATTTCAGTTGTTTAGTCTTCTATTAAAAATATTGGTAATTTAGTCAAATTTATTTCATTCCTTTTGTTAATGGATATACTAAGACTTCAATTTCATTTTATGACCAATATTTGGTAAAATTATTGTGCAGGTGATCTTCAACTTTACCTTGTTTCTGTTAAAACACAAATTGGGGAGAAACTTGAGCTTCAGGTCAGTTAACTTAATTTGTCAAGCTTTTGCTTGTTACTATATCACAACACATTAAGAGAAACCAAGTGATCAAGCGGTTCCAAGATGATCATGATGGAGATCTGACTATTTCCTTTTATTCTTGTTGATGTAAAATTGTTTGAACATTTAACTATTTATAATATCATGTTTACATGTGCTACTATTTCACCTGAAGAAAAACTGAGGAATTGAGCTTCTTCTAACTTGTATAAGTGATTCACAGTTGAATCCTGGAGATTCTGTCATGGATGTACGACAATTCCTCCTTGATGCTCCTGAGAGGTGTTTATCACATGCTATGATTTACTGTTGCATACGAAGGATGCATCAACTCATCACCTGGAAGATTATAATGAAATTTCTGAAGTAGCTGATATTACTACTGGTGGTTGCTCCTTGGAAATGGTCCCAGGTATGTGTTCGAACTTTGGGTACTTTTGATGATTAAACAATGGTGGATTACAATACGATAAATCCTCTTTGTTATCTTCTCCATTGAAGGATATTAAATGCGTAGAGAATTTAATGTAATAGAAGGTATCCCAAGACGCATCCAATACAGTTAATGTAATTTCATTGGCTTGCTTTGTGTATATGCATGAGACTGTTCTGTGGTTGCTTGTAGGCTTCTTGGAGATTTGATTTATTTGGATGTGATCACTCTTGAGGGTAATAAATTTTGTATTACGGGAAGTACAAAAATGTTTTATGTCAACTCGAGCTCAGCAAACACTCTTGACCCAAGGCAAAGTAAAGCTACTTTTGAAGCAACAAATCTTGTTGCTCTCTTACAAAAGATTAGCCCTAAGTTCAAAAAAGGTAGTGAAGTGTGATAACTTATTGTTTAGGACTTAAATCTCTGAGAAGTTTGCTTTGAAACCCAGAACTTAACCTTTTGTCCAATTTTGAAGCTTTCCGGGAAGTATTGGAGGGTAGAGCAGCTGCCCATCCTTTTGAAAATGTGCAATCTTTGTTGCCACCTAATTCTTGGCTTGGATTATACCCTGTTCCTGGTGAGCTTAGCCTCTGGCATTTTTGTTTCATCAACATTAGTTTTAAATTCTTTATGTTTTAGTATTTTTATTATCTGATTTGATGATATAGTTGCTTTTACTTTAGTTCTTGACGATGTATTTTTCTTATTTGTTTTGTGAGAGCACATTGTCATTAAACATCTTTCTATTAACACATCTGGCCATGTAGTTTTCTTGCACTTTTGTTGTCATTTACTATATCAGAAGTGAGGCAAATTATTGTCACGTATTCAAGAACTATTTTGTTACAAGTTATAACAATGATAAAAACAAAAGGAAAGAAGTAGTGATGGTTAGAGTAATACCAAAAAACTTAAATTATTATCAAGGACTTCATTTAAATAGAATTATTGGAGATCTCACATCAGGTAGATATGATCAAATTATAATATATAAGTGGAGTGCAAACTTTGACTTACAAGCCATTTTTATGAGGCCAAGTTAGACTTAAAGTTCAATTTCTAAAATGCTATTAGAGTTTTTCAAGGACCTAGCCTGGTGAGATTTGTTGGACCTATTGTGCTATCTAATATCAAGCCCCTGTATTCCCACTCTTGATGTCCTTGGCATGTTGGTGGGTGTTGGAAACTCCATTGACTGAGATATGTTTAAATTTTAATTTATAAGTGTGGTGCAAACCATTCCAAACTAGTTTTGTGAGATTGAGTAAAACTTAAAATATATTTTCTAAAAAACTTCCCGAGACTTGATTTTTGATAGAACACAAAGAAGTTATTTGACCTATGCTGCTGTTGTAGCCTAGAGGGAAGGCTTTTATTTTGTTCGTTTGTTATTATGTCCTACTTGATTTGGAAGCCAATTTTAAAATGTCATGAAATTATAGGAGTCCTTGTAATGAGGTTCCTGATATCTGGATCTCAGACTGGATTGATGTATTTGTAATTTGCATTGGGGTGTTAGCAGACCACAGACGTGATGCAGCCCGGGCTGAGAATGCTTTGACTCTTCTTTATGGCAATGAGCCAATTGGCATGCAAAGAGACTGGAATGAAGAGCTGCAGTCCTGCAGAGAATTTCCTCATACAACTCCACAGGAGAGGTGTCTTTATCTATCATTTATATGGATGGATTTGGATTTGATCCTGTTCTTAGTTTGGTGAAGAGATATTATCATTAAATATCTACGTTTCTTAGGTGATTTGTTTATTGGTGTAGGATTTTGCGGGATAGGGCACTTTATAAAGTGACATCAGACTTTGTTGATGCAGCTATTAATGGTGCGATTGGAGTGATCAGTGGCTGCATTCCTCCAATAAACCCAACTGACCCTGAATGTTTTCACATGTAAGTGTGTCTTTTGAATCCTGAAACTTCACTTTATAGAAATTGTAAATAGCTATTTTGGTATTCTAATATTTTATTATTTTAGGATGTTGAAAAGTAATGTCTAGAGGAAGTTGCATGTTACATTTTTCCTGTCTGGGGTTAGGAGAGAGGGAACATAAGATACTTATTCCTGGTCCATAAATTTTGTAGTTGTGTTGTGAAAAGCATTTTCATGATGTGGCTCTCATGTTGGTATATGATGCGTTGTTATTTTTGTTTATTAATTTGGTTTAGATTGTTGTTGTCATAGATCATATACTTGTTCTCATTGTGATTGTGCCCCTTTACACATATGGGTTTTACCGTGTAGTTTAAAAGCCTTTTGGCTCATTTTGCGTGGGTTTTGGTGACAGGTATGTACACAACAATATATTCTTTAGTTTTGCTATTGATGCTGACCTTGAGAAGCTGTCAAAGAAATGTGTGGATTCTAATTCAAAAACTTGGAGCTCTGGCACTTTGCAAAGTTCTTCTGATAAAGCTTCCATTCCACTTCATGGAGAAACTCAGGTTCCTAATGGAGGAAAAGATATTGGTTCAAGTTCAGATGATCTTAATGGCACAGAAACCTCTCAAGATGCTTCTCCAGAAGCTCAGCTGGCTGAGAATGAGCAAGCCACGTATGCTTCTGCAAACAATGATTTGAAGGGCACAAAGGCTTACCAAGAAGCCGATGTTGCTGGACTTTATAATCTTGCTATGGCTATAATTGACTACAGGGGGCATAGAGTGGTAGCTCAGGTTTGTAATGAAGCTCAAATTTACCTATGGCGGACTTGACTTTCTGTTTTTACATGAAAGTGTTGTTATAGTTTATATCAATTTGCTATTGGTCTATGCTTGTCTAAAAGGCAAGATATGGCTGTTCGGTGTTTCAACCCATCCACTTTTTTGGATTTTTTGTTCTAAAAATACTTTGTGGTGCAACTTAATGAATTAATGCCTGTCAAAATAGCTTCAAAATGGTGAGAAAACGAATAAGGACATGCTGAACTGTATCAAGAAGGTTATAAAACATGGCAAGACTTTTCAATTTCTTATTTGTATTAGTTTGTAGGATGAACATATGTTGTATATATTATTTTCTTTATTATATCTATGAAGTGATTAGTTTCTATTCATTTCAACCCAAATATATTTTCAATATTTTTAATAGGTAACCCTTTATATTTTGAGTATTGTAAACTGTTTATGATAATTTTATGATATATGCCAAATTGCTTTCTAGTATTAATGATTTTGGAGTGATTATAAGTATTAGATTTGTGCTTAAATTTGCATTAATTTAATTTTGAAATTTGAAACCCTGTAAATCCTTATTCTCAAATTAAATTGTATATTGTGCTGCAGAGTGTATTACCGGGCATTCTTCAAGGGGACAAGTCAGACTCTCTCTTGTATGGCTCTGTCGACAATGGAAAGAAAATTTGCTGGAATGAAGATTTTCATTCTAAGGTAAAGAAGAAGGGTGTAGCCATTTAAATTTAGTTAGAGTGTCTAATTTGAATTTGAAGCATCTCCTGATTTGTGTGAAATTAAATTGTAAGAAAATTGGTTGGTAGGGAAAAAATTAAGTATTTTTTAGATTGCATGATCTGTAAACTAAGATGTATTGTTTTATTTGCTTATTACACTAATAGGTGTTGGGATTTTTAAAATTGCATTATCTGTACAATAAGATACCTTTTATTTATTCTCTGATTTTGTTAATAGGTGTCAGAGGCTGCCAAATGCCTTCATTTGAAGGAACATTTAGTCCTTGACGGATCTGGAAATGTTTTCAAATTAGCTGCACCTGTTGAGTGTAAGGGCATTGTTGGTGGTGATGACCGGTAATTATTTGAGTTTGTTATTTTCAGTTTGTGTACTTTGGTGATAGGATGTCTACAGATTTCCTAATGCATAGTTTCAAAGGCATAATTTTTACTGCAGGAAGATTTAGATTGTACCGTTACTAATCAATTCTGGCTATTTTTCCCATATGTAATTCATTGTCCAATGTCTTATAGTTATTGAATGCAAGTAGATTGAAGTTAATTCAAAGATGCTATCTGTTGCAACTTTCCTAATTTTGTGTTTTAAAACTCTCATTTTTGTTTGTATAGCATATCGTGCTAATGCACTGATGCTTTGCTCTTTTTAAACCAAATCAGACACTACCTTCTTGATTTGTTGAGGGTAACTCCTCGTGATGCCAACTATACTGGGCCTGGTTCTCGATTTTGTATCTTGAGGCCAGAATTAATTACTGCCTTTTGCCAGGTAAGCACACCATAATGTCAAGGATGTTTGGGGTTTTCCTTGTGTTTTTAGTTTTTCATAGCTGACTGGCTCTTTGTGTGAACAGGCCCAAGTAGCAGAGGCATTGAAACCTACCAAGGTGAATTCTGAAGAGGCTGACAATTTGGTCACTGATTCTGGAAAGGCAACCGATCCTGACCTGCTGGTAAATGATTCCCAAGCAGCTGCTGATTCTGATCAGCTGGTGAATGATTCCCCAAATGCTGCTGATGCTGACACACTGGTGAACGATTCCCAAAATGTTGCAGATGCTCACAAGCCAGTAAGTGCAATAGTAGTGGAATGGATATTAGTCCTTCACTAATTATGCTGAAGTATTTTTTTATTTTTTATCTATGATTTATTGAAATTTTTAATTTCAGAAATAATTACATTTAAGAGGAGTAAATATTAGTGCAGTTTCCTAACCACATCCGATAAGCACTATGTATGAATTTGAACATACGTGTACCATAGTTTTAGTGAAGCAAATACAATTCCCAATGAACACAATACCCTCTATTGTAGCATATGACACATCTTGATATGCAGAAGACTTGTTCCAAACATATATTCTGAAAAGAAAGTACTTGTTTGAGGTTCATATTTAGTACAAGAATCACTCCTTTGCTTGTGCATCAATTTGAGCATTCATTTAATATATGCCCGGTATTTCTAACATGGAAGATTACTGTTGTAATGGAAAGACAGAATTATTAGTTTTGGTATGTTTGTTTGTTCTCCTTTTATGTTTGTTTCTTTATCTTATTCATCGTGTGTTTTAAAAGGGTAACTGAACATGTATGAGCCTACCATTGGCTATTATGAAAATTGTTGTGCCTTTGTACTCGATTATTTTTTTCTGGTTGAATGCAATGCTGTAAGGGTATTGTGTTTCAATTATTTGACTTATTAGCTTATGGCTAGTGGGAATATTCTTGGTGATGAAGTTCCAATAGTTAAATTGCATGTCCTTTACTTGCTTTCTGCAGGATTCAACAGACGGAAAAAAAACTGAGGATGTAAAAGAATTTGCTTCTGTGACTGCCAAAGCCTCTGATGGTAGTGAGGATATTGTTTTTAATCCTAACGTCTTCACTGAATTCAAACTTGCTGGGAGCCCAGAGGTTTTTTTCCCTCTTATTTTCCCTTTTCTGTGTCTAAATACGACTTTACTTCCCATCTATGGAAACATGTGTTTTGGTCCATTATTTCTCTATTGTGATTGCTCGTGATGAAACCATAATGCTCTTGGCACAGTATTCTTACATTACACCTTTTTATCACATTCACCAGGAAATAGCAGCTGATGAAGATAATGTTAGAAAAGTTGGTCAATATCTTATTGATGTTGTACTTCCAAAGTTTATACAAGATCTATGTACACTTGAAGTTTCACCAATGGATGGCCAGACATTAACTGAAGCACTGCATGCTCACGGAATTAATGTTCGCTATATTGGCAAAGTAAGCGCCATGTATTTTGGTCAATAGTGAATTATCTTCTATTTAAATATGATGGTGATTTGGTTATAGACTTTTGATAATTCTTATAACGATTCTGATTGCTCATTTTTTGATGAAGGTGGCTGGAGGGACTAAACATCTACCTCATCTGTGGGATCTTTGCAACAATGAGATTGTTGTTAGATCTGCCAAGCATATTATCAAGGTGAGAAAAACTAGCTTACTTTAAGCAGTTCATTCTATGGGTCAAACATTGTGCCTGAATCATGCAAGAATTGCATTTACATGTGGGTCCAAAGTATGGTTTTGTTCGATCTGGTTTGAATCCTTGCTACCCTCTTATATAGAGCCTGGTTTTCAGGGATTGATTTTCTCGTTTTCAATGAAAACTGAAGCGAAGGGTCAAAGCATTAATTCATTATTAAAAGAATATAAAACTAAAAATAGTATTGTTTTAGTTGAACATCTCACATGCACTAGATATATAACCAAATTATAGTATATACGAGGAGGTAATCCTGACCATACACACCAGTTTGGTAAGATTCAGTTAGCAATTAAATTTACATTTTAAGATGATATCATGGTTTGTGTTTGCAATTTCTGTTCAGCCTATTAGGCTGCTCACTATTGGGCCACTCACTATTGAGCCACCATTGGATCAGATGAAAATTTTTAGTATCTTGAGATGTCTTGTCCTCGTTGTGAGGGATGCATTAGAGATGATCCTACATCAACTAGAGATATGATCAAGTTATAGTTAACAAGTCGGTGTTGTAGCATTGAAGTAGGGGCCTAAATCAACAGTCTATGAGGTTTAAAAGTCATGCTATTTTGGAAGTTTCTAAGGTGGCCCCTTTTCTTTTTGCTATGCTAGGATTGAGTGATATTTTTTGGAGGGATTGAACTTTGCAGTCTCTATCATGTCTTGAAAATTAAATTTGTTATAATACAATTATTTAGCTATATAATGGGTTATTTGACTTAAAAAGGCTATCATCTAAATGTTTGTAATTACGTGAATAATATGTTTTATACCATTTCTAATTATTGATCACAGATCTTATGTTTCATGATTAATGATTTATAAATCGCCTTCCAATTCATGATTTGAATCCTTATTTGATATCCATGATTATATTACTTATGAGTACATTAGGTTTATTGCCAGTTGTATATTTTATCTTTGGTACTGATTTGCTGTGCATGTCTTATTCATGTTTTTAATGGATAAATCTATTATTTTTGCTATACTGTTATAATATAAGGTATTACTTGAGCATTAGAAACATGATTGATGTTGACACATCAGAATAGACAACATACCATGAGAATAACTAGCAAATCCACTTGCATTCATCAATGATATTTGAGATCGTTCATGTGATATGCAGGATTTATTGAGGGAGACAGAGGACCATGATCTTGCACCAGCTGTATCTCATTTCTTAAACTGCCTATTTGGAAGTTGTCAAGCTCCCAGTGGCAAAGCTATCACCAATAGCACTCAGTCCAAAACTCCTAAAAAGGTATGTTGGTTATGGTTCATTGTCAATGTTTTGAACTTTTCTTCTCCTTTTAGGGTAAAAATATTGTTTTCCTGGCTTATTCTACAGGAACATGCTGGGCAACGGTCTCCAGGAAAACATTCCAAAGGGCAAGCTCGATGGAAAGGCAGGGCTTCATTAAGAAAGACTCAACCTTTGTACATGAGTATCAGCTCGGAAGCTCTTTGGTCAGACATTCAAGAATTTGCCTTGGTTAAGTACAAGGTATCAGCTATTTCCTAACCTAAATAGGTGTTTCATATCCATTTAAAATGAGTCAGAAAGTACATTTTGTTATTTTAGCTATATTTTGTTGAATGAGTGCTAGCCTTGGCACAAGAGTAAGGATGCAGGATTGTGAGCTGTGACCTGGAGGTCCGGTATGCAGGGGTAAGGCTGCATACATATACCCTTCTCAGACCCCACTAGAATGGGGAAAACTGTTTTTTGAAGCCACCAATTGTATGTATCTTTTAGCTGGCCTTTCTTAATATTTTATTCTCTTTGGTCAACCATGTAGTTTTGTATTGTGGCTTATAGTCACAGTTACGGAGACTTCCAAAACCTTGATATTGCAAAACCATTGTTCGTAAATGAAGCCTTTGTGGCTGTAATGAATTACGGGTCAATCCACTCTGATTAAGTTGCTTAGTGCCGCATGAAGATTCTCCTTTTAATTGTTTTAGTTGAATTAATGGTGTGACTATATTTATTATATCCAAACTACTACACTGTACTCAGTTATAAATTGTTCTAGCTGTGTGAATTGTACAACTTGACACTGCACCATTTAATTAGTTAGTTAGCCTAATGCTGCAACTCTCGTCTATATGCTCTGGAACAAGCAAATGGTTAATCAGTTTTTCAGTTGAAGGTCTATGATTCATTCTGCCTTTTATTCCATCTCATCTCATTAAATTCAATTTTTTTGTACTGTGCAGTTGTTTTGCTAACTATATCTCTTCTATTATATGTAATCTAAACAGCTATGCCTTTGTTATGCTTCTTCGTTTTTCTCTTTGTTAACACATGTATCTCTGTTGATGTACATTTGAACTTCAAATCAATTTGCCGCAGTTTGAATTGCCAGAGGATGCGAGGTCGCACGTTAAGAAAATTTCTGTTATACGAAATCTTTGTCTTAAGGTAAGCACAAGATTGTGTTCTGTGTTTGTGCTGTAAATAATTTGTGTTTTTCATGTACTGGCTTTTTTAATTTTAGAGAGTTCCAATAGCATGAAGCTCTTTAAAGAACCAAGTACCAACTTGATGAGTTTTAATATAATTAAAATATTATCATATCATAATTTTGTATTTCTTGATACGTGTGAAAAAAAAGATGGGATATATTGTGACTATTTTGCATTTCGGTTATATGAAATCTTTGTCTGAAGGTAATCCTGTTGAGTTTGTGCTGTAAATAGTTTTTATGGTTTTGTGGTGTTCTGGCTCTTCTAATTTTAGAGTGTTTTGATAGCATGAAGCTCTTTTAAGAACCAAGTACCAACTTGATGAGTTTCTATATCATGTAAAATATTCTCATCATAATATTGTATTTCTTGATGCATGTAAAATAAAAGACGGGATATATTCTGACTGTCTTTTCTTTTTTATGTTGCAAACATAGTGACAATTCTCCAAATTTATATACAGTTGTTTAATGCATGGTTGCACTTGTTTCCAACAGTCTTGTAAAACCTATTGGCCTCTGAAAGTTGTTGGAACTATTATGTTGGTTTTTGGTTTTAGTGCTTTTATGCCATAATCCTCTTCAATTTTGTACATTTTAAAATTCTGAATGGACTTTGCCATTCTTGATTTTCAGGTTGGTATAACAGTTGCTGCTCGTAAATATGATCTTAGTTCTGCAACTCCCTTCCAAACCTCTGATGTCTTGGATATCCGTCCAGTGGTCAAGCATTCAGTTCCTTCCTGTTCAGAAGCCAAGGAGCTTGTGGAAACTGGGAAACTTCAATTGGCTGAGGTATATGCCATTCCTTGTATATTTTTTTTACCTTTAACAGGAGTTGATGTATAGAACTTAATCCACGGGGAGCTGGCCTGTAGTTAAGTGGTTTGGTAGTTTGTAGAAGATGGCACTGACTTTTGCTTCCTATAACAAACAATTAAAATAGATTGCATAGTGATTGGTATCTGTGGTGTTCTGTGTTTTTGGATTTTAAGATATATTTTACTTTTGGGGTGAGGTGGTGTAACAGAAATCTAACATTATTACTAGTGGGCTATTTTGAAGTTGTGCGAGAGTTGGTATAACATGTGGTGATTCTGCTTCATAAGATGGAACTTTTATGTGTTCAATACTGTGGTATAAATTTATTAATCCTGGAGGCTTGATTTTTTTATTTATATATTTATTTTTTCATTTTCTTCATTGCATGTGTTAACATATATTTTACTGTTTGTTACAGGGTATGCTTAGTGAAGCCTACACTTTATTCTCTGAGGCATTCTCAATTCTACAACAGGCATGAAATTCTGTATTGGTTTGTCTTTCTTGGATGACTTGTGCATAAAATAATCGTTGTTGAATGGTTTTCAGGTTACTGGTCCCATGCATCGGGAGGTTGCTAATTGCTGTCGGTATGTTTAAATTTTATTTCTACCATTTTGGCATATTTCTACCATTTTGGCATGATCCTACAAGTTTTTCTATTTAAATTCCTATATTAATCATGATATGCAATTATGCATGTTGTGCTGATTTAGACCTGAATTATGAATGCAAATTGAGCTCATCATTTTCAGTTGTCAGTCCTTGTAAAATTGAAGATTTATATCCTTTGCTTGTAAATTTCTGCTTAAGAAGTCAGTTGAATTAATTTCATGTTGTGTTTAATCTGTGTGATAAAACTATTTATTTCAGATATCTTGCCATGGTTTTGTATCATGCTGGAGATATGGCCGGGGCTATCATGCAACAACACAAGGAACTGATTATAAATGAACGTTGTCTTGGTTTAGATCATCCTGACACTGCTCACAGGCATTCCCTTTTCTATTGATCTTCTTTGTTCTTTCCCATAATATCTTAGGGTTGTATAGTTGAATGTTAAAAATTATGTTGGACCAAAAAAATAAACTGGGATACCCAGTTATAGAAAACTTTGATATGCATGCATTGTTTTGGACAGACATTGTTGAACAAGTTCAGGTTATTTTTTTATGTATTGAACCTATTTTTGTTTCATCTTGACCTGTTGCAGTTACGGAAATATGGCTCTGTTTTACCATGGACTTAACCAGACAGAACTTGCCCTTCGCCATATGTCCCGTGCTTTGCTATTATTAAGTTTGTCATCAGGGCCTGATCATCCTGATGTTGCAGCAACATTTATCAATGTTGCAATGATGTTTCAGGATATAGGAAAGATGAACACAGCTCTTCGTTATCTGCAAGAAGCTTTAAAGAAGAATGAAAGGCTTCTTGGCGAGGAGCATATTCAAACTGCTGTTTGTTATCATGCTCTTGCCATTGCATTTAATTGTATGGGTGCTTTCAAGCTCTCTCATCAGGTACGTGTTCTGGGGTGTTAAAGTTGGCACACCCGTGAGTGGATAACTAATTTTGGCATTTGGTTTGACAGCATGAGAGGAAAACGTATGATATACTTGTCAAACAACTTGGTGAAGATGATTCAAGGACACGAGATTCGCAGAATTGGATGAACACTTTCAAGATGCGAGAACTGCAGGTATCTGTATGCTACCTTAGTTACTAATTGAATTATGCATTTCCTCATGGCATCACTTTGCACGCTTAACTTCCATATGTATTTCCAGAGAAAGACTTGGAGACTAATTTTTTTGTAGTAAGGGGAATTAGAATTAGATAATTTTCTCACAGCAAATTAGCTAATAAGTACGGAGGGGAGAAAACTGACGAAGATAGCATTTTGGTTTTGAGTGGGTAAGGTAGAGATCTTTGGAAATGAGCATGGTTGATGACAGGAAAACTCAGCTGGGACCAGGAGGGAGAGAAATGGACTTCTAGAATAGATGGGTTGAGGTGCTTATGAATGTTACCAGACTTGTCAAGATTATTATGTATATTTATTAGCATTCCTATATTTTGTGTACAAATGCAGACAGGTTAAATTAACTTGTAACATGGTCTCCATTTCCGTATTAGCAAATGGTTGTTTTGATGACAGTCTTAGTGTTACATTTTCACTTGTTTTAACAGATGAATGCCCAAAAGCAAAAGGGTCAAGCTCTGAATGCAGCTTCGGCTCAGAAGGCTATTGATATCCTGAAGGTGCATTGCATTATTTTTTGTATGCAATATAATCAGATAGTATCTATATCTAATACTGAGATTATCTTGTATATTCAGGCTACCCTATGTGATATATAGTAGTTGTAAAAAATGAGACACTATTATATATTCAGGCTACCCTTTGATATACAACATTTTTCTAATATCTCAAGTGTCTGCAAAATCTTAGTTTTCATAGAAGCTTTTACTAACATGCTAGAGATTATTACATTTGTTCAGATTGGATTTTTATTTATATAGTTCTTTGGCATTTATGTAGTGCTGTGATTCCAATTATTGAAAAAGGATTTTGTACTGTGACAGGCACACCCTGATTTGATTCATGCATTCCAAGCTGCTGCAGTTGCTGGGGGATCTGGAAGTTCAAGTGTATCTACAAACAAATCCCTGAATGCTGCAATAATGGGTGAGGCCCTCCCCAGAGGAAGGGGAATTGATGAAAGGGCTGCACGTGCGGCTGCTGAAGTCAGGAAGAAAGCTGCAGCAAGGGGCCTGTTAGTGCGTCCCCATGGTGTACCAGTCCAAGCCTTGCCACCCCTTACCCAACTTCTGAATATCATAAACTCAGGTGCAACTCCAGACACTGTGAATAATGGGAATGCAGATGGAGCAAAGGAGGACACAAATGGCATTGATCCAAGTGATTCAACTGATGTCAACAAAGGCCAAACAGTACCTGTGCAAGAGCAGGCTCCTGTTGGATTAGGCAAGGGATTGTCATCCTTGGACGCAAAGAAACAAAAGGCGAAACCAAAAGCTGGAGCTTGAAATTTTGAACTTGTAAGCTCTGGTAATTGGCAATGGTAGATTTATTTCCGATCAATATTCTTTGAGATGGTTGGGTTAACCAGGTACTTTGCTCAACTTTTTTTTCTTTTTTTCTGGAGAGTGCTGTAGCGATCAGAAGTAATTTTGGTTTTTTGGCCTTTGCTCCTTAGATTTGGTAGATTTAGACCTCCAGAATGAATGTGATTGTGATCAAGTACATTGTTAATTTTTTGTTCGGGGCGATTGCTGATGATTTTTCAATAAACTCTATAATCCGGGATGCAGGGTAAGAACTATCATTTTGATAATGAAACCCTATATCCATGACAAATTTAATTTACTGCTGGGTTAAGGCAAATTAAATGCATAATCTACGGTGTAGAAAATTTTGCTGCAACTTTTGTATGACATTATCATCTTTAATAATATGATGGCAATTCTTTCTGTGAATTGCATTGCATGATCCTGAATTTACTATATTCTAAGTAGGAGTTTGGTTTCTAAGTTTAAGATTGTACCTGTTACTTTTAATCATTTTTATTTGTTCAAAGACATAGAATGAAGAGAACTATGTCAAATGTGACTTTGTACCTATTAGGTTTAGGTTAAACATTTCTTTAGTGCAAATACAATTTGTTATTAGATAATCATAACAATTTCTGTACTTACATACAGATGGTTTTGAAGTACTTGATACAAAATATGATATTTATAATTAGAATGTAATTTTCGGAAAACTTATATAAAATTATTAAAAATGAAAATTGAAGTAAATTCAAATGTATAAGGTATTCTCTATTAAGTAATAGAAAATGTAAAGCATTCAACTAGAATAAATTACGAATAATTCTATCATTTAAAAAATGAAATTTAAATTTAAATTACTTTTATAAAACTGATTCAGTAAAGTTAAGATTTTTAACTTATAAATGTTTTAATTTGATCATATTTTTAATTTATAATAGATATATAAGCATTTTGTATATGGAGATATTGGAAAATAAGTTTCTCAATTAGTTTATTTTAAAAAACAAACATTAGTAAGATATAACGTTTCACAATTGATTAATAGTACTTCACAATTGATTAATAGTACTGTCATGATGGTACGCAAATTAGAGGTTTTGAAAAACAAAATCATATTATTTATTGAGTTATAAAATGTTGAGCATTTTCACATTTTAATTTTTTGTGTCATCAGAATTTGCTATATAAAACTACTAAAATTTTGGACGAATTGGAAATGATATTATTAATGTAACATTCTATTTTAATATTATAAAAATACTAAAATTTAAAATTGTACATATAAGATAATAGAACTATTAAATATAAACAAATCTACTAAAAATAAGAGAAATCTATCTTTATAAAGTCATTTAACAACCTATTTATTTCACCTTGTTGGAAACATTCAAAAGATGTGTCCCTTCCTAAACTCACATCATTTAAGTGATCATTGCAAAAGAGAAATCAATACAAAAGATAGACAACACAAAAGTAAGGTAAAGGTAAGCTAGAATACAAACAATTAATAATATATATATATATATATATATATATAT